AATAAAATAATAATAATAATAATAAAATAATAATAAAGGTAATAATAACATTAATAAGAACAACAAGATAATGCATATGCACAAGATGAGAGCATACTTTTCTTTCTACATGATATGAAAATCATGTACTCTATCATCGAATATAAAAAAAGATGAGCGAAAATAGAATTTTTTTCTTCTTAATATTAAAATGTCTCTACGCTCATATATCGTATTATTCATGCGTCCAAAAGTTCACGTTAAATTCTCTTTACTTTAAAAAAAAACATTGATTACATTAATTCACATAAGAAATTTCTAAATATTTTTATACATAGAACCAATGGTTTCTTTTCTTTTTTAAATTTAATAAAAAATACTACTCGTTATATAATTAGGTAATAATCTAAAATATCTATATGCCAATGTTGACTGCTTATGCATTTGTATGTACAAGTATAACATCCAGATGTTATCCTTCTGGTTGCACATCCCTACTTACTATGATATTATTGTTTATGGATAAAAAAATACTAATATATCGCGTTTTTGTTGCAGGGGCAGTGTTTTCATAGAATTGTCCATTGATAAGGCACCAATTTATGGGATCCTGAGATTCAACCAGCATGTTTTGATAGATTTAGAGGCATATCTAAAGTACAATGAACATATAATTATTTTCTATAAATATATGTTTAATTAATAATTGATAAAGAATATTGAAAAAAAATCTACCTGAAGGAGGAGTAAGCGTTTGTTCTCTGTAGTCTTTGTAATGATGTACAGGTGGAGATGAAGGATGAGGTGGTGGTGGGACAAACAATGGCAAAGGAGGTGGGTAATGAATAGGTGGCTGATATTGCATCCATAATGGAGCTCTATATGGTCCAGGAGGCAACATTGGAACACCATAGAGCGAATGATGTACAGTTGCATTGGTAGATCCAATATAAGGGTCCATTCGCACTCTCGGATAAGAGTTACTCGATGAGTATTTCACAGGTTGCCTGTCATCCGGTTTTAATAAATTTCTTAAAAATCCTGGCTCAGGATTTGGTTTATCTTCTCCTAAGATACTAGTTATACTGTATGAAGATAACTGCTTTGGAGAAGGCGTAGAAGTACTGGTTATATTAACAGGTTGAGGAGTAGCACGCCTTTTAGATGCTTGATCCTCCAATGAAACTCTTTCCAATTCCCTTAAAATACGCTTGCGAGGTGAAACAACATTAGGATCAAGGAGACGTGCTAATTTATCAACTATCAAACTTAAAACTTTCCCAGATGACATATCGTTCACTTTACGAAATGATTTAATATGAGATACTGAGGACTCAGGAATAAGCATTAAGGATGTAGGATCGTGTGGACGACGACGTTTGCGTGCTACCAAACGTGGATACGCGCAAAGGCGGCTTTTTGGATTTCTATGGTAATAAAAATTAAACTCTGTAGATATCCTGCGTCTGGGATTAGCTTGCTTCCAGCAATGGTCTCTTTGCCAAGGGCTCGATTGAATCGAAGAATTATCGTCAGAAACTGCAAATATGTAATATTTTTAATTTATTCTCATATTTATTTATATTTATATAAAGAAAGATTAAATTTCTTTTAAAGCATACCGCTAAGAGAAGTGGTACTCTCTTGTCTATTGGGTAAAGTGCTTGCTGGTGGCCAAAATGTCTTTTTTGGAACAGGATACCATGTAGTTCGTTCTCCATCTCGACGATGTGACAGCTCCAATATAAACTTTCCATCTTTAAAAAATTTCAACCTTCCTCCAGGCGTTGGTAAAATATTATTATCGTTACGTTGTTCGCTATGCTGTGTTGGTTGGGGACTCGTATTTTTACCATTAGTATTGGCAAGGGTCGGGTGCAATGTTGGAGGATCACGCGAGCACATCTCTGTCGTGCCCCTCACGTGACCTGTGTGAGCATGACATTCTGCTGACTTTTCACGCATGCTGATACTTTACCGGTATCCATTTTCCTCCACTTGAGCTCCCATACCTTAACCTCTGGGTAACATTTATTAGAAAATTCTTTAATCTATGCAAGGTATTCTCTTCCTTTTCTCAATAGAATTTGTTTGCAGTGTCAGCAGAGATGTAGATCAATCTTGCTAAAGTATTTTGGTCATATCATTTGCCAGAAACATGTTTCTTAAACGTACTTCAAGGAACATCTGTCAATCAACATCGGTGATATAATACAAATGTTTCTTACAATATGACCATTGAGTGAAATATTATTTTGGAAAATGTGTATTTCTTGTTGAGCATTGTCGTAGATCAGATATTATTATTATTACATAAAATGCTCATCGTGGAAGATATATCAATGGTTGACAGGTAGATTTACTTTTTCAGACAAGCAAGCTTATGCATAAGACAGTGCCTGACAAGAAGTGATTATGAAAGCAGCATTCCTCTAGTATTCAATCAATCAGAAATCTATGTGTGTATATGTGTGTATGTTGTTGTTTCTTTTTTTTCTCTTTTCTAATTTGTAGCAAATCGTATAAGGAATATATATTTCATAGAAAAAATCATTAACATATTATTCAACGAGGATAATGTTAATCATCGGTAATCCAATAAAGTTTAGTGCTAAATTTGAAAAGGAATCTGGTAATATATAAGTGGCAGCCGCCAGATTCCCACCCACCCACGCACTGCCGCCTTTTCTAACGAGCCCTATTTCCTTTACGATAATAACCACATTGCAACGATATATCCTTAAATTCGAAGATACTAACAATCTTCTTACGATTCTTACTAAAATTAAACTTGGCTTTCTAAACGAGAAATTGTCCTCGACCAAACACGGGAGACACACGGCACTTTGTAATGGAAAACACGTTTCGGCCGACACATGTGTTTCACTTCACCCACTTAATATTCACGTTATGCAGTTAATCGGCCTTATTCGTTCGATAATACTTTGTAACGTCCCAACACCATGATTTTTCTCATCATTTTCGATCTTTCAATGTAAAAAAACAAGAAATTCTCGCCTTCGTGTACTCTTCCCATCGACAACACTGTGGCGGTTCGCAATCCGCACGTTCCTCCGTTCCTTAGTTCAACTCCCACAATCAGTCTATGCCAATTTGGATTTATATTATAGAATTATATTACAAACCTATTATATTACGGATATTCAATTAGTGAATATTTAAAAAATATACAAAATCTTTAATAATATTATTATATTAAAAATTATAATAATCAAATTTTAAAAAATAGACAATATCTATTATAGTATTATATAATTTTAACTTATCCGTTTTTAAATTATATTTTTTTATTGTAATATTTAATTTTATTCTGTTTATATATCGAATATAAACTTAACAAATTATAATATGCGATATTTACCGCGTACTTTTTAACAAATCAAATATGGATTCATCTATGCGCGCACTAGTTCCATTGATAGATCGTTAACCAATAAGAACGTGTGAATTTTGAGTACTTAAAAAGTGGCGCCTAAATTCATATTTAATTTTTGTAGAATGAAAATTAAATTTCGTTAAAATCGAAATAAGATCATTTATTATTGACATATGTCATCTTGTCATTTATTTTCATGTTAAATAACATGATCTTTAAATCAAGATATAAAAAAGATGCAACTATTGGAAGAATACGAAGAATTAATTGAGCGTGATTCAAATCAAATTTCGATTTTATGGAAAATCTTACAAATATTTTTGTATTTTTTAACTACAATATCAGGATATTGTTCTGCAATTTTATTCTATATTTTCTGGGTATATATCTGGCTATATTAAATTGTTTTTATATTATTAAAAATGTATATATCTATTAATCTTATTTGAATTATTTAAAGGAGAATATTTTTGGAGGACATTGTCCTCTTTGGGCACACACGTACATCATATCTACAGTAATAGTAATCCATTCTAATAATGATTGCGTAGAACGTGAAACTTTTGTTAAAAACATTGAACCGGATTATAAAAATTGGTTAAATTATATTGTCGTTAAACATGATTATGAAAAGCATTGTGAGTGTTGTTATATTGTAAGCTTATTTTCTTGTATATTCGGTATTGTATGGATCGCATTGTTTTCTGTTTATGGTAAAGGCGGATACAGTTACAAAACGCAAGTATTTTTATCTTCATAGGTGCATCATCTGTACATTTATATTTTTAATTAATTTTATTAATTATTTTTCTTTTAATTAGAATTCCTTCTTCATGGAGAATTATCCCACCTGCATTATTTTTTAATTTAATATTCGCAATAGTTACTATCTATGTAGCACATGATTTGGAAGTAGGATTTAAAACCTTTAAATTTGACATGCATAAAGTTTTTCTAGAATTGACAAAAAACTCTGAATTATTATCTGATCAAATGTAAGTGTTGCTTAAGGTAATCAATGGATTTAAACATAATTAATAAAAACAATATTTTGTAGGATCTGCAATATTTTACAAAGTTATGTGGAAGTATATAATGTTCATGGATACAATGCATGTAATCTATTTTTTACGTTAAAGGTAAGACTTACATTTGAATAAAATATATATTAATCAAATATTGAAAATAATATTTATATTAGATTTTGACGTGGACAATGGCATGGAGTTGGGTTGCTGGTTTAATTTTATTATTAATACGTGTTCTATTAGTTGTAGACTTTAGAATTTTAAAAATTAGAATTTATGAACTTCCAAACAATTTAGTTACATTATCTTCAGATACCAATAAAGATAACATAAAAATAGAATCTTCTGAAAATGATAAAAAGAAAAAGGACTGATATGCGCTTTTAAAATATATAAATATAGTTAAAAAAAAATAAAATAAACACTGCATATCTTTTATTTTATGTAATCGTATTAAATGTTGACTGTATTTTCGATTAAAACTATTTTGTATTATAATAGAAAATTTAATATATTGTATGTAAACAAAATTTTTTTCAACCCATAAACATTTTTATAGTATTTTCTCATTATATATTTACATTTTTTTTAATTCCACTTCTGAAGATATTTCTGTTACCTTTATGTATCTGGTGTCAGTTTAGAATTTTTGTTTATTAATATTCTTATATCGCAGTTCTATTAAATTTTGCATAAATTTCTTGAATTACTTTGATGTTTTTGTTACGTATTATAATATTTAGAACATGAAATTTCCCAAATACAATACCATGATTAACACAAATAATGTTAACTAAAGTATTTCATAAGTTGCATGTTTTAGTGTTTAAGCGTGTTTATTGATATTTTCGGGAAAATATTATAAATCTCATAAAGAATGTAAGACGTGAGGATTCTTTTAAACATATAAAATGGTCTAACTACATTTATAAAATATTATTTTTATAAACAGTAAATATAAATTTATACATCAAAAAATTTACTTTTATATTTTTTACTTTACTATTATTTTATATAAAACTTTTTTTTATAATACTGAATACTAATACAAAAACAGTAGTCAATATATATGTAATATTATTTAATATGTTAGCTTGCTGACAAATAAAATGGAGAATAAAAAATAAATATTTATGAAAATATTGTTTAAAATTGATCAATGAGATTTTTTATAATGTAAAATGTAAAATGTTTTCCTATAAGAAATGATCAAAGAGATGAAAATAAAATTAATTAGATGAAATATATTTTATCTGATTGATATGAGCGAGAAGAGGAATATAAAATCGACATGATAAAAAATATAAAACTAATCTATAAAGATGTACTTTTCATTCCTATTATAATTAAAAGTTATCTAACATATTTGAATCCTTTAATTATTTCTCTAGATTGATACCATCTAAACGGTGCTTGTACAGTCTGTTCATTTGACTGTTCCTCACATTGAATTATAGGATCATCTTCATAAGATTTATCTAGTTCACGATATACTTGAACTAAATTTGTACAATTACAATTTATATTAAATTTATTACTATTTAGCAACTTGATTCTAAAACTCTGCGATGTTTGTATCGAGGGTATATAATGTGGTTTAGGTAAAAAGAAATTAGATATACTATTGCTATCGCTTTTCTGTAACATAACGAAGGTGTTCGTAGGTCCCAAAGGCAAAGTCAAAGAATCTTGAAATTCTGTACATTCTAGCATCGATCTAAAAAGAAAATAGAAAAATAAAGGTTAAAGTTGTACTTTCCGACAATGAGTACTACATAGATAAAGTATAATAGTAAAGTTAATTAAATAATAAAATTGTTTATAAAACATTTACCTCATCAGATTCAGAAGAGGTTTCTGTGAAGAATGTTCACATTGTAAATGATGCAAACTATCAAGTATTATTGGTGGTAATTCTAATGTAATTTGCAACTTTGGTGATAATATTGTTGGTCCGATAATGATTATAACTTCCTTAACTTTAATACTCTTAAGAAGTAGTTCAGAAGACAAATTATCGGTCACATTAGTTAAAGAATTAGATAAAGTTTTGATGAATGATAAATTTCTGTCCATTTTTTTATTTTTTCCTTGTAAGTGCACCAAGGAATCATATGTGAATGGTATTTGTTGTTTTTGATATAATACATATTTTAAAAGCTCTGTAATAAGCTTCGTACATGAATTACTTGTTAGAGGTTCATCTAATAATACGTTGATATCCTTTTCACATTTCCGATTGTTTGAAAACATTTTAAATTTATTAACATAACCAAGAAATTCAACCTCTCATAAATATTTATATATATCTGGATTTTCACAGGCAACTACTTTATATATTCGTACATCTAGTAACAAGTATTAACAACTTTAAATATCAACTTAAGTGCACAAAACTTAAATGAACTATCAGTTATTTTTGTTCCTTTATAATCATAAGTTAAGAATATTATAGATGCTAAAACTTACATTTATAATATTAAAATGATATGAATGAAAAATAATTATAGTTACAAACTATGACAACAATATTGATTAGTTTAATTACATACGTATGAGAAGATATTATTAAAAATATCATTAATAATTAAACCATAAATAAGCTTTGTTAATTTTTTTTAAAATGAAACTTTAAGTGTAACCAACTTAAGAATTATATTTTAAGTTGGCAATATTTAAGTACTAGTTTATTTTCAAAAATAGATGTTTCTAGAAAAGATAGTAAAAAAAGGGGGTTAGTCGTTTCATTTTTGGCGCGAAGTTATTTTGTAATTATTTCGTTATATTTAATTAATAATAATAATAATTGCAACAACATAAATTAAAACTGTGAAAAAAATATCTTATATTTAAATCGAAGGAAAGTTGTTAAAATTCGAGTGGTAAGTATTAAAACTTGAAGTCGTTAATTTTTGAATAACAACAGAAGGGTTGGATCGTAGTAAAATAGTATTTTTTATATTTGTGATTTAAATTTGAAAATATCGATATTAAATATTATTTCAATTCATTTCCTTCGTTTATATGTGTATGTTTAAATATTCTTGCAGTGATTCATCGTTTCTACGTGACAATTGTGTTTTAAGATTTTTTTGCTCATTCCTGAAATTATAACCTGTAAACAAAGATTTTTTTTATTAAGATTTGATTGGTTATAATATTTTATGTAAATAAGATTATTTAAAAATGATTGATATTTTGTTTGCATACAAAATTGTTCATTGCTTGTAACATTTATTTTATAAGCAAGTTTTAAAATAATATTGTATGATATAAATTAGATATATAATTTGGTATCTAAATATGTAAAAGTTACATTTACAGTTTCATTTTATTTTTTATTTCAGTAACATGGAAGATTCAAACGGAGGACATTTAAGCCATTTAGTAGTCAACAGTAATGAATGTTTGGAATTTAAATTAATACGCGATGTTGATGATTTAGAAGATGATAAGACTTCGTTTAAACCAGAAATGTCTCACCAAGTATTTGGAGACAGGTTTATATATATTTTTTAATATAATATACATTTATACAAATTTATTTATGTATTTATATTTATGTTATTATATAATGTTATACATTTAAAATTATAATGAAATATATTTATTTTCTTTATTAGTGAGACTATATTCGGTTATCAGGACTTGAAAGTGAAGCTATATTACTCAGCTGGTTTGTTAGAAACTTATTTGGGTATGACATATTCGGAGAAAGTAAATAAACTTTCTTATGACGTCGAAGCTGACGAAGTATTGTCAAAAGTTGCGAGTAAACTAACACCTAAAATTCATAGTAATCTAGATACCTTTGTTGAATCTCTTAAAAAGGATAGAACGTTCAGACCTTGCGGCGAATTAATTTATTCCTTTTCGGTAAATGGTAATGTCATTCAACTTTTCTTTTATTTTCATTTTGCATTACTTTAAAAAATATTTTCATTTTTTTTTATTGCAAGTTAATATATTATCGTTAAATTACAATATTTTATTATAAATACTTTATTTTTGATTTTAGATAAATGTAATACAAGACAGTTTGAAGTTTATAAAGCGGATATGTCGTGTAAAGGTTTTAGAGAATATCACCAACGTCTTCAAACATTTGTTTTGTGGTATATTGATGCTGCTAATTTTATAGATATCGATGATGATCAATGGCATTATTTTAATATGTAAGCATTCATTCAATATATTATTAAAGACAATAATTTGTTTAATGGACTAAATAATTAATTGTGATATATAAAATAGGTTTGAAAAATATAAAACATCATCTGGACATACTCAGTATGGAACAGTTGGTTTTGCTACTGTTTATCAGTATTATGCATATCCAAATCACACTAGACCACGTATTGCTCAGGTATTAATTTTACCTTTGTTCCAAAATATGGGTCTTGGTACTCATTTATTGCGTGGTATTTATTGTGAATATATTGGTAAAAGTAACGTCAAAGATATAACAGGTAATTTGATTTATATAAAAAATAACTCTTAAAATTTAATATAATAAAATTCTTAATTTAATTTTGAAAATTATCTAATTAATAATAGTTTAATAATTCCTTATCTTTTTCTTTATTTTTTTAGTGGAAGATCCTTCTATTGATTTTCAACGAATAAGGGATTATGTAGATGCAATAAATTGTCATAAATTACCTAGTTTTTCACGAAAATATTTACTTCAAGGTTTCAACAAGACCATGGTTATCGAAGCTAGAGAAAAATATAAGATTAATAAAGTATATAATTAAATAATTCTTATTATCGTCTTTTAGAAATTGTTGATAAATTATATTTTTTATTTTCAGAAACAAGTACGCAGAATTTACGAAATATTACGTTTACTAATAACGGATATTTCCAATGAGCAAGAATATCGTGATTATAGATTAAATGTGAAAAAAAGACTGAATATTCCCTACAAACGTGAACAAAATGATTTTAAAAAATTAGAGTTAGTCTTCAAAAGTCTAAACAAACGTTCCAACATTACCTTACCTCCGATGGAACAACGTATGAAAATACTCGATAAATTGTATCGCATTTTAGAGGAAGATTATAAAAAGGTCGTTAAACGTTTGAAAGAAGAAGCTGGGTTATGGATATGATTAAAATACTGTTTCGTATTATATAAGAACATTTTTTACAACGTTATAAAATAGATATTCTTGGAAAACAATGTCTATGTACAAAATACGATGCGTGTGTGTGTGTGCATTTTCTTTTATATATATAAATATATATATATATATATTTATTTTACATTTATTTTTTCAAAAGAATCTTTTTTTTCTAATCTTACATACTATTCTGAAAATTCTTGTTATTGATTTGTTTATGCAATTATCATTCTTGATTTCAAGTTATTTAATTAAAATTATAAAGACTTGTCCTTATATAAGCACACGTGTATTAGTTACTGTAAGATGATAACAAAATATAAGAATCAAACAAAAATTGTTATTTTAAAAAAAAGTAATTTTTTAAATTCCATGCGTCAAATTTGGTTTTATTTTATTTATTTTTCTATAAACATCCCACCCACATGCATGGTGAAAAGTCAGTAGTAGGGGATTGATTAGGAGCTTCTTCTTTTCTACTACGAATTTTAAGAGGCGCCACCATATATTTTTCACGAAAAATATCGATAACTGCAATTACGTTGCAAATCATACCAGGGACTGCTCTGAATCGATTTTGATGATCGAAGTTTCGTTGGAAAAGTGAAGGTTCGATTGTTTTATTCTATTATTTGAATTTTTAAACAAACATTATTTTATGTTATAACAATTACTTCGAAAAATACAATTTGTTATGCATTATAATAATTTCAATTTCTTATCATTTATGTCTTATAGATTTGTTGATCACACTACTGTATATATATTCTCTAAGAGAATATTATTCGTTTCTCATTGCAAAATGTCGAAAAATCAAATTAAGGTAAGAATTGTTTGATTAATGTCAAGAATTTATTAAATGAATCACCTGTTGTGTTTATGTACATGCCTGTTTTCATCTATTATTTTATTTTGCTTATTATTATTTTTTTCATCCATTTTGTTCTTTTTTTTTTCTACTTTCATAATTATATATACTATTTCTTTCTTTCTCTCAACTATACTATTGTCTTTTCATAGATTGGTATTATTGGAGGGTCAGGACTTGACGATCCAAATCGGCAAATATTTAGTTACCAATCCGAAACTAAACGTGAAGATGCAACTAATGAATTTGGAACACCGTCGAGTAATCTTTATCATGGAACTATTTCTGGAGTAAAAGTGATATTATTGTCTAGGTAAATTTATCTTTATTTTTATTTATTATATGCATATATTCTATAATATTTAAAACACATTTCATTTGTTAATATAGGCATGGACCGGGTCATTCTATAACTCCGACTAATGTAAATTATCGTGCAAATATTGAAGCTTTAAAACTTGCCGGATGTACGCACATTCTTGCATCGACTGCTTGTGGTTCATTAACAGAATCAATAGGTAGAGGACAATTAGTTGTACCTGATAGTTTTTTGGATAGAACGACTAAGCGAGATGGTACTTTCTTTGATGGCAGTTCCAATAAATATCCAGGTGTACTATGATTTTATATTAAAAATTTAGTTATATAATTTTTGTTATTCTATATTAACATATAAAAATTGCAGGGGTTTGCCATATGCCAATGGAACCAGCATTTGATCCGGACATTTCCAAGATTTTATTACAGGCTGGGAAAGATCTTGGCTTTGATGTACGAAACGGAGCAACGATAGTTTCAATAGAAGGACCACGTTTTTCTTCTAAAGCTGAAAGTAATGCACTCCGTCTTTGGGGGGGACATTTAGTTAACATGACTACTTATCCGGAAGTATGTTTGATTCTAACTCACTCGCTCTCCTCCCTCCCTTCCTCCCTCGTTCTCTTCCCTCCCTTCCTCCCTTTCTCAATTAAGTATTTATTTATTTATTTATTTATTAAATCAGGTCTGTTTAGCAAAAGAAGCAGGATTATTATACGCAGCTATAGCAATGGCAACTGACTATGATAGTTGGAGAGAATGCGAGAAAAGTGTACACGCAGCCGATGTTTTAACAGTATTCAAAAAAAATGTTGATAAGGTAACAGATCTGCTAATACGAGCTATTGAATTAATATCTTTAGAAGATTGGGATCAAGATATTAATAATTTGAAGGTAAAATAATATTTATACAAAATATTATTTTGAAAATAAGTTGAACCGAACTGAATGGACTCGAGTTAAATACGATTTATATTCTAATAATAAAATTAATTAATTTCAGGAACTCATTAAAAGCAGTAACGTAACGCATAATGTTTGACGATAAGAAAACCTCATCAATTGTGAATAAAAGTTTTAAAAATAAGTTAAGTAAAAAAAGAAGAAGTATACAACTTTTTAAAAAATGTTAAATTTGATTTAAATATAATATATTTCTATTTATTTGTATTTGATCCAAGAGTTATAGAACACATTCCATTTGTTTTTTTAAATCCTCAGTAAATACGTTAACGTTTAAAATGAAATTTGATATTTATTTTATAACACAACATTTAATTTGTATTATTAATAAACATTAAATAACTTACTCAAATATATTTATAGCAAGATTTTTTTTTCTCTTTACATTTTAATCTTATTCAAGTATTGTCATAGTTTAAACTAAAACATTGCATCCTGCGTCGATACATACACAGTGGCAAATCTTAATAGTAATGTAAATCGATTATTTTTAAATTCATATCAGACGAATATTTAAATGGAAACAAAAATGTTTGTTATAATTTTTTGCAATAACATTTTTACACTGTTGTCACAAAATAAATTTGACGTATAATATAAAATTCTAAAATACGTTCTTGCTTTTACCGCCCAGATTATTTCCTGCATAAATCAAACATTGCAAACTGAATAACACTGGGGTGGTAATAACTCAAACGTTGAATATATATATTTTCTTCGCAAAAATATACTAGGTATGCATATTCCCTCGTCTTTAATACATTGCTCTATAATATTTTTTCAAGCTATTTAAGAAGCAATATTTAATACTGTACTGTTTAAACATATTTATTATTTTATCTGAATATTTTTTTCTTTTCTTCTTCTTTTTTTTTTTTTTTTTTTATATACGATATTAGAATTTTTCTAAGTGATAACAGCGAAATGCCACAGTTGTGTTGCATTATTATATACTTACAGTAATATTGTGCAACGTTAATTCTTAATAAATATGTACCAAAACACTTTTCTTTTTTTTTTTTTCTTTTTAAAGCATTTCTAGTAATTACATACGAACAGTTTTTTTATATTTTTGGTTGTCGTTTCAGACGACAACAACAACAAAAATATAATTCTAACGTATTGCCCAGAATCCAGGCCTTTTAATAAAGCACACAGCTTTTTTTTTCTTCTTATTATTATATGCGTGAATACTTTAATTCATGCTCACCTGTGTATAATCATTACATATTTAACAATTACATTATTATTATTATTATTATTATTATTATTATTATTGGCATTTAAAGTGATGTATAAAGTATTGATCACTTTAAAAAGTAGAATGAAATAACGCATAAATAATAATATGCATAAATATTCTAATGCCTACTTTTCCTGAGTGAATTAAGGATCGTGTCGAGTTTGATTCTACAGGCAAGATTGAAAAAAAAAAGAATACAAATAAGAGTGATGCGCAGCAACACTCATTGTATTATAATAAATAATATAATTTCTGTACCTGTTGAAATATCGTATAGAAGTTGTATGTATGTTAAAATTATGCGTTTCGTCGTCGACGGATCAAAAGAGAAATTAATCATATTATCGTAAAATTGCGCATACGATTAACGAAAATAATTTGATGAATGGTAATTTTATTCCATTACTATTGCAACAAGTTGTATAAATCCAATCTTTGGCAAAGTAGGAGAGAAAAAAATAAAAATAAAAGAGTCTCTATTAAATGAAAATTAATATTTCTAAACAATAAAGTATGTACACACTAACGTTTAACTCCTTATACAAATTTGTTATATATGCGATAATTTGTTTAAAAGTTCATATATATGTGCATTTTCAAATCTTTCGAGTCGCTATAAAAATAGTGATTTCTGATGAATAATTATTATACAATTACATTTTTTTCTGGAATAGATCGTTACAATAATTATATGGTAACCAAGGATAAGAATGCAATTGGCGTTTCTACAAATGCAAACAAAATTTAATTAATATCTTTGAAGTAAAGATAAATTAGTTATCTTTTTGTATGCATTTATGAATAACAATAGTCGCCCGAAGAAAAGTAAAAAGTGTAATTGAAATATAAGGAAAGAACCTTTTAACAAGTGTGAATTATTACACCTTACTGTCAACCATATCCACATTGATCTTATAATACACGTAAGGAAAATAATCGCTTTGTCCAAATCCTAATCCTGGTATATCCATACTCTATAACAATAAATTACTATAATAATTGTCTATTCAATTTGATATTATAACTGAATTAGTATCCTTACATCTTGGTTCTGCCCTGATGCTGTAGCGGAAGAATCCAAATGAGCGTAAAGCTGATTTAAAACGTCGCGCAATCGCTTCATAGATTTTTTATGCGGATGCAATAAAATTGCTTGGAAATTAACAGGTAAACCATACCTAGTGGAAAAACAACATAACAATATATACAAATAATTGTTTAATATTATGTTTTTCCTTGAATTAAAATATGTATTACCTAAGAACGGATTCTACGAATACACGTAGAGCTTTAACGTGAATCCAAGCGCAGAAACATTCGCTAAAGTTTACTTTCAACCAACGCACTAACGATCCAAATTGTTTTTTCTTATCGGTTACCAGTTTCGTTATTTCGTTTTTACCTGTGTTGGATATATTTATTATAATAAAACGAAAGATTGTTTATCTTTTGTTTGCCTACGCATTTTTTTTTAACTTTTTATAATCTCATATAAAATATACCTGCGGCTAGTTCTTCTTCATTATATGTGAAGTCGCGTACGATAAATTTCTTTTCGCGCGCATGCAATTTAAATTCTTCAATAACTTTTTTGAACAATGTAATTGTAAATAATCCATATTCAGAATCTTCGACTATAAGCTGTGTACTACGGGGTACAATCATATTATTTAACTTTTCATACCCACTGTACCAATCGTGATAGTTAGACCTTAAAAACGTATTAACCAGATATTACATATTATATACAAATAAATATGATACGTGTTAATTTTATATACGTAGTAAATGAAGTAATACGTACTTTGGTACGATCACAAGTAACGTTGATAAATATTCACTGTCTAAAATAAAATGCTCCTTTTTAACTAAATCCGCTAGGTTTCTTGTTAACAAACTTCCACTGTACAAGAATTTCTTTATTATTACTATTCTTTTCTAGATTTTCATTTATTACTTATTACTATTTATAAATTATGAAATGGAAACTATGAAAATATATTAACAAATTACAATAAACTATTACAAATGAATAAAGAAAAAACTTACGTTTGTTTTTTCTCAAGATTTTGTAAGCTTCCTTTCAAATTATTGTACGTTGTAGATTTAGTTTTAAGATCGGCATCTATTTGACCCACTTGTTTGCTAATTATATCCGCAATATTTCTTAATGATTGTTTTATCGGATATTTAGCCATATCCCACTGGAATCGAGTTATATACGAAGGTAGATCACCTAACAAATTTTCAATATTAATATAACTAAATCTAGAATTAAACATTTTTCTATAACTAAGATTGAAATATTTTAAAACAGAGCTTTATCAATCAATATCTAATTTCTAATGCTCATACTAATACGTTATTAATAAATACTAACAATTTATCAAATTCAACGAACTAAAAAGACTTATAAGAAGCTCTGTTGAAAGGTGTTAAATATATATATTCAAATTATATGTCAGATTATTGTATGACTAAAAGAGTAATAATAATTATAAATGAGATAAACAGAGAAAGATTTTGTTTTGGTATCGTATAAGAATAAATTTCACTGATTCTAGTACGCTCCTTATGTATTATTCAGAATAGCAGGCAGTACCTAAACTGAATATATCGTGCAAACATTAATGTGTAGGTGCACATACAACTTCATTAAAGCATTTTATATATAAATATAAATATGTATATATAATATAATCGTATGTATATACATATATACATATATACATATATATATATACGATTGTATTCAATCATTAGAAATGATATACTACTGCATTCAATTTGTATTAATATACCTAATATGATATAGAATAAAATAATATAGAGAAGTGTCGATATAACTGTGTTTATGTTTCATTATGAAGACTTTGTCAATTGTATTACATTAAACTGTGGGTGTCTCTTTTCTTTTTGTTTAAAATATATACTATATTTACATGCAATATTAATGTGTGATAATAAAAATTAATTGAATAGTAAATATGAAAACTTCTGTTCAATAAAAACTTCTATTACATATTTGTAGATTTAAATTGTATGTAATTTTTTATATTATTAAAATTGCACGATAAAAAAAATATCAATGAGTATAACAAATAGATTTAATTTTAATTAAACTTTTATCTTTTTTCGTCAATGTTATCTGCACGGTTGTATGCATTGCAATTGTTGAGATATTTCTTTAATAATTAATTCCCTATCCCCTTCCCACCACACACACACATACAATGGTTAACGAAAATAATTGATACCTATGCTCGTGACAAGTTACAATGATTTGTAATTAATAATAAGTGCGATAATAAAATAAGCCAAGCAGCTGAGATGATATAAAGCATTTCATGCCAACCGAGTATGAAGACATTTGTAAGAGATCTTATTATTATTATTATTATTATTATTATTTATTGCTCATTAGCTAATAAATTATCATTCAAAGAAAGATAAAAGAACTCTAGATTATTTATATTATAATATACTGTGTAGTAGGTGTAATCAAGTTGTAAGCATGCAACACAGCAGTTTCTTGTAAATTCATGTACCGATCGATAAACATATTTTCAATTTCATTATTTATGTTGGTGCTATATATATATAATTGTATATATATATATAATTTGTATATGCTGTTTAAAATTCTTGTATGTATTCTTATTTATGCTGTATTGTACAGTAAAGCAACATACTCAATTTAAAAAAAGAAAGAATATAAAATAAATATTATTGAATCATATCAATGTATCGAATGCGATGGAGATTTTATGATTATAACTTTCTTTTTAATATGAATGTATGGGAAAATATTTATTATTATTATTATTATTAAAAATGCAAAATTGAAATAATAGGACTGTTTTCGTTTTTAATATGAGCGAAGAATGAATTTGTTAATAAGAAAATTAATGAATTGCAGCAACCAAAATAAATAATAAAAAATTTTGTATTGTTAAAATTAATGTATGATCGAATTGATATTATTGCATAAATGTTTTGTTGCAACGTATTATATATTTTACATTAAAAATGAAAATAGTATTTTATATTATAATTAAAATAAAAGCATTGTGTGGATTAGAAAAAGAAACAATAAATAAATGAAAACAAGACAAATAACTTATGTTTAAAGAATACTAAGATAATAAATAGACTAAACAAGTAAAAAAAGCAAAGAAAATAAAAATAGTAAAAGTAATGAAGTATGTGCATTATGCAATTATCAGACAAATTCTAATTCAAATATAAATCTGTGGCATCTGGAACAATCAATCGAACATATTACATTTTGTTAAATTGAAGTATTCAGACACAACCAGTACACAGGACGCAGGAGTAAGAAGGACTAACCAAGATCAAAAGATATTATTGGTGTATTTACCAATATGAATATTTTATCGAATAGGTGCACGCATATTTTATATTTTAAATGTGCTATAATGTAGGCAAATCTCTTTGCATTCCTTCAGGTTTTAAATTTTTTCTTTTATTTTTTTTCTTCTCTTTTTTCATATTGAATAACTTTAAAATTTTTTTTTCAATCAATCTATACTCAATTAAATTTGAAAATACTTTGAAACTATAATAAATTAACGTGAAAATATCTTTATAGCTGTAGCATAATTTCATAATTAGCATAAATTCAATGGTGTATGTACTGGAGAGAGATTGTCATGGCCTTTTGAGATGATATGACATATAATATATGATTTATATTTATATATTATTTTGATTTTTCAAATTTATAAATATTATATGATTTTGTGTCCTTCCGATTGTTAATCTATTATAAAATAATAGTGAACGTTACAAGTTCGTATTACAGTGACAGAAAGGAAAACAAAGAGTAACAAGCAATACTTCGTCATTGAAAACAGCACACTCACATTAAAAGAAGATAGACTTTTAAGAATTTGTTACACGGGAGGCAACGATACTGCAAAAAAGAATTCAGCATTACATACATTGCATATGTATGTGCAATTGTGCGTTATTGACATCTAAGGAAATGCGCACTAGGATCATGATATAATACAGTCATTGTATTTTTGTATGTGATTACGCATTTAAAATGAAATATTAATATATTAGTTAAATTCCTAAAATGGCATGCGATAGATTATTTTTCTTGTGAATTGAATAATTATAATAATAAAAATTAACAAAAAAAAAAAGATAATAATAATAATAATAATAATAAGACCACGAAAGTGACAACCTCTCTCTCTCTTTTTCTCCCAATATGTAGTAAAAGCGCTTCGAACAAAAGATATATATGTATAAATATTAATATCGTTAAAGGAGAAAAAATCCTTGGAACAAACACGACCATAGGTCAGTTATACCTTGCCATTATTTTAGGAAAAGGTATGATAGGTTGATGTGATGGTGGTAGGATGGGTACCTGGATTAGGCAAACTGCCACTATGGTCTTGATCTTGGTCATCGCTTTGGCCCACATCATGGTTGTCATCGTCATTATCGTCAATTGATGCACAATTAGAGGCGGTTTGGTCTGCTTTTTCGGTACTCCTCGGTTGCGTTGTTGACTGCCATTTATCTTCTTCACTGCTGCAGGTTGATGAAAAGGAAGGAGTTGGGCTCGCTGAGCCAGGACTTGGAGTAGGTGTTGAAGGAGTTGAAGCAGTGCACCAACGTGCACGGTAACATGAATACACTGACGAAGGATCATTCGACGTTCGAATATCGCTGACACCTTGAGTATTATGTAATGACTTCTTTTCAGAGTTGGATAGATGGTTCTGATGATAGTGGCTATAACGATGGTCATGGTGATGATGACGATGGTGATAATGCTGACCTAAACGGGCTGCTGCTTCTGGTTCTGACTCGTCCAACTCCCTCCACTGCCTGTGGTGCTCCCTTGTAGTCTTGTGTGACGGAGTAACAGGTGTGTTTGGCGGGGTGTCCGGACCCCCTTCGGGACTCAAGCTCTCCCCATCCACTGATGTTTGACCTATCCATTACAGCCCAGTCCCAATCTCCTCGCGATCTTTCTCATGTCTCGCTCAACTATTATTGCGTCCTACGCAAATGCCTAACGACAATGCTGACCAAACTTAATCAAAACAACTAAGGATCGAACGAAAGACCTATGGAGTATTTAACGAAAATTATTCTATCTCTAATGAATCTTCTTTAAATACTAAACCACTAAAGATTTGTCGTTCTATGTAATTTCTCTACAAATATTATCTATAATAATTGAATACATTTTTATTATTTCATACAAAAATTAAAAGTGAATAATTAAATAGAAATTTGATGAATGCTTAAGTACGACCATAATGCAGGAATCTTTTATTATATACAAAAATTAATTTTCTGTAATAATATGTAATAATATGTTTAATAGAGCACTCCTTGAAATTACTATATCATTTCACAATTTATATTACAAAGATGAGATATTATATCAAAAAAATTAATGTAAAATTAAATTAGAAATTATTCATTTTACTCTGAATATTCATTTAAAAATTTGCCTATAGTCGTTAAATACTCCGGCGTTTAAACAGAAAATAAAAAATAATTAAAAAAAAAAACAAAATATAAAAATGAAATAAACTATAAAAAGAAATAATATTAAAGAAAAAGATTAAAGAAAACAATTTGATTAAACAATAAAAAAATAACTGAATAATAAATGAGCAAAGATATATACCACAAAAAATATAAACAAAAAAATATATAGAGCATTGCAAACAGGCATAAATACTAAATTGAGACTGACAACTTAATTTAAAATTAAACAACCTCATATTGACTAATTGGAGCTTGGTGACCACAGTAACCCAAGCAACTCCTTGCGTCCTCTGGAAGGTTCATACGTCGATGTGAGTGGTCCACATGTCCAGAGATAGAACTTTTATTTACCGATAATATTATTTTGTATTTTTCTTTAAATTTTTCTACGCTATGTTACATGTATGTGTTTTTCTTTTATTGTTTCGAAAAGCTTTAGTAAGAATAAATTTGAAAGGTGTACATGTATGATCATTTGTTAATATAAAAATAATAAGTATAAGGTAGGGAAACAGGGTTAATGTGGTCTGAATAAAAATTCAAGCAAGCCAAGCAACATCACAGATACAGAAATGAATTTTTAGTAGACAGAGTAAAAATGAAATTCTTCAAATTAAGATCCATAATAAGCACTCTACAAATATATCAATCATATATAATTAACTTATGGTTTATACCACTATTGTTTTCTATTTTAAGGAAAGGGTCACTGTGCATAATTATAAATGTAACTTGAAATTTGATAATAATTAGGAAAGGAGAAAATTATTATTTCTACTTTTATGAAAATCTACTAAATTTTTCATGTATTGATGAAACGCATGATTATTTATATATGTATATGTATATTTGATCATTGATTCAAATATTGTAATATATTATCTACCGATGCATTGTAATATACAGGGTGTCTGAGGTTTTTCTAGTCAAATAATGTCAGTATATTTTATGCATAGAAATCTCAGACACTCAATATATGACGAATTGTAGTAAATCTCATAATAATAATAAAAAAAAAATGATAATTTTCAATGATTATTTATAATGAAACGTAAATGAACTATAAAGGATTATTATTGATATTCTTTTGTGATATATTGAAAAAAAATAGTGGTACATACCATATTTATCGGTAACAGTTATTACTGTACGCTACAGCAACAAAAATTTTGTCTGCATTCACATAAACAATTATAGATGTATAATTTTTTATAATTTAATAATTATTTATAACACGTCAGTGTATGCAGACAAAATTAATCAAGTTTTATATTTTCCTATTCCCTTGTATCTTTAATATATGTATCGAGAAAAATATTTTAATCATTAAATATATAAAATTACTTCTCATTAATGTTAGATAAATAAATGAAATATTGAACAAACTAACTGATATACGTTTAAGATTATTAAGTAAATCAATATCAAGTAGTGTATATGTATTGTGTCGTGTACAGTATTCATTTGACATGCCTTTTAGATTAGACAATTTATCTTTTTATCATATACTTAGAAAAGAATCGATCGATACCTGTTATAAGGGTCCAAAATGCAAACACTTTTTTTAAATAAAATTATACAAGAAAATGTCGTGCATTTGATATTATATCTTTTTTTTTGTTTATTATCATTGAACGTGAGGATACGTTTACTTAAATAATTATAATATAATGGGTGATCGGTTAATGAATATAATTCATTCAAAGACAATGTTCATTACTCAAATTGTTCGTTGACTGATCATTGAAAAAAAAAACCAAAAAACAAAATAAAATTCTATAAATCTTACAAATTACACCGCTTCTTCTTATACTTATTCTGTGAGGTGTTCATTAACTGGTCACCCATTGTATATCTATAAAGAATTTACATGCCAGCAATAAATAAAAAATGCTTATATCTACAAATTTATTAAAATTACTTCTTTTTTTATTGAATTCTATATAATTTATTTATAACATATAAATCGAATATATATATATATACTATGTTGGCATGTAAACCTTTAATTTAGTGCAGAATAAGGTAGAAGAACAATAGCATGACATTTCCAAATAGGGGATAATAAATTTTTATGTGTTTAAAATTGACAAATATAAATTAGAAATAATTTTGGACCCTATTATATATTAGATAATGAATTATCTTATTATTGGAAATAGATTATATATATATATATGTATATACAAAAAAAAAAGAGAAAGAAATGAAGAACGATAATAATTTTATACTCACTGTTATTGGCCAAAAGATTTTCATGTAGTTTATCTCTTTGATCTTCTAAAACTTCTCCTAAATAAGTAGCAACTTTGCGTGTAACTTGTTCCACAAATGCATCCAATTTTCCTAGATCATCGGATAGACCAACCAGCTGATCTAGCGTTCCCACTTTAAGATCAGGTATATGAAACTTGAAATTTTCAGATAAAGAATTTTGTTTGTTAGTTAAATTGTTCATCGTTTCCCATGTCTGTTGACAAGTTTTATCTCCTGGTGCTGATATAAGCCAGTATTCGGTCATCTTGAACGATGCGTTCTAATACTTAGTTTTGAATATCTATACATAGAAAATATTAATAATAATGAATTAGTAATTTAATAAATAATTAATTACAATATAACAATGTACATAGCACTAATAACAAAAAGGTTATGTGATCGAGGAAATGAGAGAACATTTGATAGAAGAATGCGAAGAAATGGAGAAAGAAACAGTAATGAGATAAATAATTATGAAAGCAGAAGAAGGAACGAGACAAACAAGGAAAATAATAAGCAAAAGAAAAGGAAAATAATAAATTAAAAAATGCATATACATACAGTCAATTGCACTGACAAATAGATAAATGTAACTCTCATTTAAGACCGAAAGGCAAAGGTAAACCATTCACTTTTATAACATGTCTATGTACAAGTATATACATTTCATTGATTTAACAAAACAGATGCAGCCTTGGTTAAACAATTAATCAATTTATATTCTTCTTGTGTGTGTATGTGTAAACAACCATCTGCCTCAACGTTATACATTGTGTCTTATAATAATTTATATGTTTATTCAAATGAAATCATTAAAATATAAGATTACAATATATTTAATGACAGTAAAATAAAATTCATAATTAGCGTGCATTAATACAGAAAAGTTCGTAATAGAAGTATAGTCATTAGATAAACGAATTATAGAAGGGGGTGTGGCATGTAATAATATAACGTTTAGTCGAATATATTATGTAATTAGGCGCGCTTTCCACGTGACGTGCGCCAACTACTACTCGAATGGCAGCGCAGAACACTTAGATACCAACAAATATAGAGAATTGACAAGTCTAATCTCTAAAGAATAAATATATGAAAAAGCAACGTCCTTGAATCAAGAAATAAACTTTAAATGAAATACCGATGAAAGATACCTGTAACTATCCCGATGACAATGGCGCCTGTCGTCTATCAGTGTGTGAATGTGTGCGAATCAAGCGTTTTATAAAATCAATACTACACCACCAACATATCGTTCTCTAATATCAATTATTTTCGATATATGTACACACAGATCGAAGAATTTCATTAAAATCGATCTTACCTCTAATTAATGAAAGTTCAATTGAATAAACATAAATTAGGAAAATCTATAATCGCGATAAATCACAGTTGTCGTCAAATTTTGGTTAACGTCATTCTTTGCATTAATATACAACTAAGGTGTATTTATGATAATTGTTTTAACTCAAGACTGATAAATATTTACTTACAAGATCTTTTAGATTCTGTTGTTAGACGATTTTAAATTGAAAGGCCAGTGAAATATAGATAATATTTCAATAGAATCGTTCGTTCAGACGGACTTTCCTAAAACGATCAGAAACCATTGTGACCTCACGTGATGGCGTGCTGCTGCCTCTCGACCCACCCGACAACTAAACCAGCTAATGATCAGCTGACTCACAAAGCGTCTTCTATGCAACTCAAAACAATGTTGCCACTTATCAATATCAAATAACTTCATTTTCAATTCGATTTTTATACCTATGAAAAATATATAATGTATTTATATTATTGTTATATTACGAACACATATTTAAAATATTCCATATTTAAATAATAATTATTGAAAACATACCGTCGCGCCATCAGGTATCACAAGAAAAGAACTAAAATAATAGATGCAGTTCCTTTAAAACGCGACCGAAGAATAAGGAAGTGCATATAAGTTCACAAGTCCCCTTTTTTATCTACCCAGATTCATTTTACTTACTACCGAGACCACCAGTGGACGATAATAGATACTTAACGCGATGATGGTACAATACTATCGAAGAAAACGATATTCTATGATAGTATATATAGTATAGTTCCACATTGTAATATAGAATTTTATATAATTATATTTAATTTTTAATGTATAAACATGTGTGTGCCTTCAGAAATGCATTTATTTTAAAAAATATTCATGGCGTTCAAACAAAAAAAAATCTCAAAGGTTTGGTTGTTAAATCCTACGACGATCACCTGTAACAAAAAGAAAACTATATTAATCATACAATCAAAAATGAAACAATAGCCTGACATAGCAATCGTCCAATTTGCAGATGCACTTTTTGCAAATTTCTACTTATTTACCGTGGCAATAAAATTAAATTTAAACACGTGATTTTACATTTACATAAAATAAAAATAAAGAAATAGGAAAAGTAAAAATACTAAGTTACTAAAAAAAATAATATCTAATAATTATTATGAAATACTTTTAAATTGCATTTTACGAAAAAGAAAAATTGCAAATTTAATAAAATACGATTACAGTGAAAAATCTTAAAGACAAAACAAGAAAATAGAAATTACTGTAATATTTACTGAACGTTATTCAAGCTTGAAAATTTAATAATACGAAAATTTTAATATTTTTGACTCTAACT